AGAGCTGCATATACACCTGAGTATAGCCTCAACTTGTGCGTTGACTCTGCAGCAAACTGCGCAGCCCAGCAAAGACGGCAGCAGCAGCAAAAGCAGCAGCAGCAGCAACAGCAGCAGCAGCAGCACAAGGTCGCTGCAGCAGCCAACTTCAAGGCAACAGCAGCAGCAGCAGCTCAGCTTCCTGAACGTGTAGCGCCGCAAGCAGCCTGCAGGGCTGCAGTAGCAAAAACAGCAGCAGCAGCAGCACCAGCAGCAGCAGCACCAGCAGCAGCAGCAGCAACTCCCATCAACAAAAAGAAAGAGGAGACAGAAAAACAAAGCAGCTCTGCTGTTTTGAGGAGGTGCGGCAACGCGCTGGGGCTTTGGCTGTGCCCTAGTGCTGCAGCAGCAGCACCTGCAGCAGCAGCACCTGCAGCAGCAGCACCTGCAGCAGCAGCACCTGCAGCTGCAGCAGCACCTGCAGCATCAACTGTAGCTGCACCTGCAGCAGCAGCACCTACAGCAGCAGCACCAGCAAATGCTGAAGTAGCAGCAGCAGCAGCAGCAGCACCATCTGCTGCTTCTGCTTCCACTGGCCTTGCTTTCAAATTCGCTGCTGCAGCAAACCGCAGCAGCGAGACCTCCTCTGACCTAAACCTTGCAGCAGCAGTTGCTGCTGCTGCTGCTGCTGCAACAACTACAGCAACAACAGGAGCAGCAGCAGAAGCTGCTGCTCCTGTGCCTCAGACACCCACCACGACTACGACGCCAGAAACCCCTGCTGCAGCAGCAGCTGCTGCTGCTGCTCCTGCTGCTGCAGCACCAGCAGCAGCGCTTACCCCTAGCAGCAGAGTAATGAAAGCAGTTTTTCTAGGAACCCTGACTGCAGCAGAAGCAGCATGTTGGGCAGCAGAAACCCCTCGCGCCGAACCCTCTCCAACTGAGGCGAAGCAGCAGCAGCAGCAGCAGCAGCAGCAGCAACAGGGTGGAGAAAGTATGTTCTGCTGCCGGTCCACAAGATCGGGAAAGCCGGTCGAAGTGCAGCAGCAGCAGCAACAGCAGCAGCATGAAGCGGTTCGACAGCTTCCCGGGCTACAGCAGCAGCGACAACAGGATCTGCAGCAGCAGCTACAGCTACAGCAGCAGCTGCAGCTGCAGCAGCAGCTGCAGCAGCAAGGCACTCCCCCTCATTTAAGTGCTGAGAGACAAGACCGCGTTCTGGAGTTTAAAAAAACAATTTTACAGAAAAAGAAAGATATTGAAAGAGATTACACTCAAAGACAACAAATCGTTGACGAAGTAAACACTTAGGGTTTAGGGTTTAGGGTTTAGGGTTTAGGGTTTACGGTTTAGGGTTTAGGGTTTAGGGTTTAGGGTTGGGGGTCGAGGGTCTGTTGCCAATGGTTTAGGGATTAGGGATTAGGGTTTATGGTTTAGGGTTTAGGGATTAGGGATTAGGGTTTAGGGTTTAGGGTTTAGGGTTTAGGGCTTTTCGGCATAGACACAGTTTCTGCTGCTGCTGTTAATGCGGCTGCTGCTGCTGCTAATGTTTTGGTTGCGTCTGCTGTTGCTGCTACTGTTGCTGCTGCTGCCGCTGTTATTGTTGTTACTGCTGCTGCTGTTGCTGCTGCTCCACTTTTCTTTACTGCTCTTGTTGCTGCCGCTGCGCTGCTGCTGCTGCTGCTGCTGCTGCTGCTGCTGCTGCAGGTGCTGGAGGTAGCAAATTCACTGTCTGCTGCAGACCAACTTCGTTTTCTTGCTGCTTCTTCTGCTGCTTACGGAGATGTGTTGGAGACACATTTACAAATAAGGAGACAGCCGCTGTCTCTCAAAGACTTCAACTTTATACAGGTCTGCTGCTGCTGCTGCTGCTGCTGCAGCGTATGGTGCTCCTGTTGATGCTACTGCTGTTGCTGCTGCCGCTTCTGGATCGTCTGCTGCTGCTCCTGCTTCAGCTGAACTGGCGGCTGCTGCTGTTGCTGCTGCTGCTCCGGCTGCAAACAGTGCTGCTTCTGCAGCGACAAACCGCTCAGCTCTTCAACCTCGCCTTGTGGGCTCAGTGTTGCTGCTGCGGCTGCTGCTGCTGCTGCTGCTGCTTATTCTGCAGACGCTTGGGCGTGGGGGTTTCGGCTCTGTGTATTTAGTTCAGCGTAAATCAACAAAAGAATTGTTCGCCCTTAAGCAGGTAAAAACCCTAAACCCTAAACCCTAAACCCTAAACCCTAAACCACAGAGCAAATACTCATACTTCTGGCCTCTGTTGTGACGCTGCATTTTATGAAGTGGAGCAAAATAAGGGATGGATGCGTATCCATACCTTTAGGGTTTAGGGTTTATAAGGGTTTAGGGTTTAGGGTTTATAAGGGTTTAGGGTTTAGGGTTTAGGGTTTGTGCAGGTGCCAAAGTCGCGTGTAAGTCGCGCATCATCTCGCGAGCGTCAGTTTGCAGAGCGAGACTGTCTTGCCCTCTGCAGCAGCAGCAGCAGCAGCAGCAGCAGCGGCGGAGGAGGAGCAAAAGGAGTTGTTTTGCTGCAGCAAACCCTGCAAGAAGGACAGCATTTATATCAGCTGATGCAATTCTTAGAAGGAGGAAGCCTAATGCATTATATGCATGCGAAGCAGCGCTTCGACGAACAAACCACAAAAATTTATATTGCGCAACTCGTCATCGCGGTCAACGAAATACACAAAGTACGGCTTAGGGTTTAGGGTTTAGGGCTTAGGGTTTAGGGCTTAGGGTTTAGGGTTTAGGGTTTGGGGGAAGGGGTTGGGGTTTAGGGTTTTCGGTTTGGGGTTAAGGGCTGGGGTTTAGGGGAGGGGTTTATTAAGTTGTCGCGAGTTTAGGGTGTAGGGTTTAGGGTTTAGGGTTTAGGGTTTAGGGTTTAGGGTGTACAATGTACGGTTGATTTAGGGTTTAGGGTTTTGTTTTATGGTTTCGGCATAGAATTGGTGGTTTAGGGTTTAGGGTTTTTGCGTTTTTTGGTTTAGGGTTGTTTTAGGGTTTTAGGGTTTAGGGTTTATAAGGGTTTAGGGTTTAGGGTTTAGGGTTTGTTGCAGCTGCACTTTATTCACCGGGATATAAAGCCTGACAACATCGCCTTTTCAAGAGAGGGTTATTTAAAACTCTTAGACTTTGGCCTCGCTCGTTTTGCTCCCCATGTCTTCGCTTCTCAAGATTATAAGTGAGGGTTTAGGGTTTAGGGTTTAGGGTTTAGGGTTTAGGGTTTAGGGCTTATGCCTCAGGGTTTGATGGTTAATGCTTGGTGTCCCGAGTTTAGGGTTTATGGCTTAGGGTTTAGAGTTTAGGGTTTAGGGTTTAGGGTTTAAAAGAGCTAAGACGAGAGAAGAAGAAACAAATTAGCAGAAGGTATAAACCACAAACAAAACCAAAGAAAGTCGTATATATATTTACATTATATATATATAGATGTATATATATATATATATAATATATATATATAGATGTATATATATATATATATATCTATACTCTTAGGTATACGTTCAGATATATATATATATATATGTATATATTAATGAGTATATGTGCTGCTTCTGCTGCTTTTGTTGCTCCTGCTGCTGCTGCTGCTGTTGCTGCTGCTGCTGCTGTTGTTGCTGCTGCTGCTGCAGCGGGGAAGCGGAGGGGTTTGGAAGTTGTGTGGCTGCGAGTTTTGCTTCGACTACACTCAGCACTGATGCTTCATTACATCATTCAGAGAAACACCAGGAACACAACTGTAAACCCTAAACCCTAAACCCTAAACCCTAAACCCTAAACCCTAAACCCTAAACCCTAGTTGTTTTTCCCAAACACGCTCCTTCGCTGCACAAAGAGAAGGCCTCAGCTTAAGGCAGACAGCGGCTGCACACAAACCCCTTCATGGTTTAGGGATTAGGGTTTAGGGTTTAGGGTTTAGGGTTTAGGGTTTAGGGTTTAGGGTTTAGGGTTTAGGGTTTTTAGGGTTTAGGGTTTAGGGTTTAGGGTTTAGGGTTTAGGGTTTAGGGTTTAGGGTTTAGGTTTTAGGGTTTAGGGTTTAGGGTTTAGGGTTTAGGGTTTAGGGTTTGAGGGAGAAGGGCTCCTTAGCTTAGGGTTTAGGGTTTAGGGTTTAGGGTTTAGGGTTTAGGGTTTGTGCAGCTGGAAGCCCTGCTGCCCCTACAGCACCGCAGAGTTTACACCGGCCTACGAATTCTCTTCTTCGCTCTGTCTGCGGAACTCCCATGTACACCGCACCCGAAGTACTCCTGTAAGGGTTTATGATTAGGGTTTATTATAACGGTTTATTATTAGGGTTTATTATAAGGGTTTATTATAAGGGTTTATAAGGGTTTATTATAAGGGTTTATAAGGGTTTATTATAAGGGTTTATTATTAGGGTTTATAAATCAAATTGAAGGTATATATATCAGTCCAAGTATGATGAAGCAAAACAACAACAACAACACTAACAACACTAACACTAGCAACAACACTAACAATAACACTAATAAGACTAACAATAACAATAATAATAATAATAACAATAGTAATAGTAATAGTATTACTGTCTTCAGAGGCGAAGGCTACGACTACTCGGTAGACTGGTGGAGTGTAGGCGTCGTCTTCTTTGAGATGCTGTACAACAATAACAATAAGAACCCTAATAAGACTAAGACTAATAAGACTAATAATAACAATAGTAATAGTAATAGTATTACTGTCTTCAGAGGCGAAGGCTACGACTACTCGGTAGACTGGTGGAGTGTAGGCGTCGTCTTCTTTGAGATGCTGTACAACACTAACAATAAGAACCCTAATAAGACTAAGACTAATAAGACTAATAATAACAATAGTAATAGTAATAGTATTACTGTCTTCAGAGGCGAAGGCTACGACTACTCGGTAGACTGGTGGAGTGTAGGCGTCGTCTTCTTTGAGATGCTGTACAACA